GTAGCATTCTCTCAAGTGGTTCCACTGATAAATGCAACCAAAGCCAGTCTTGAAGAGCTATTGGAAACCAACTCGCCAGTGCAGAAGTTTCTAGCTGTTCTTGAGTCATATACCAACATCTGTGAAGACATCAAGGTCTCTGCTGCGCGACAACAACAGCTGTACCACTTGCAGGAGAAGGATATCACCAGCTTGTTTGCAAATGTTGAAGGTAGATTCGCTACCAGGTCTCTCCTGCTTGCAGCACTGAAGATTTTTGACCCTTTGGCTGTGCCAGAAACCAGTGAGTTGGGCTTCAATGTCTACGGGAACAGGGATATAGCTACTCTTGCTCAACACAGAAGACCGGAAGTAGCAAATTACTTGTAGAGTGGAACCAGATGAAATTCAACATCAACGAGAACATCAAGCCTCACATTCCCATTGGAATCAAGACAGGGACAAGCAACACCACCAGCACTCAGTGGTTCCTGAGCCACCTGATGAAATCAAAGTCAGAGTATCAACCCCTTTTTGGAGAGCTCCCTCTCATAGCAGAAGCTGCAATCACCCTTCCAGTGAGCACTGCATGGCCTGAAAGAGGTGCCAGTGCCCTCAAAATTGTAAAGAATCGCTGCAGAAGTCGCCTGCAAAATGATATGCTTGAAGCAATGTTTCATGTCAAGATCAATGGGCCAGCATTGGGAAGTCCAAAGATGGAATCCCTATTGAAACAAGCAGTTGAGAAATGGCTCAGCGAAAAAAATAGAAAGAAGCTCCCAAGAAGAAAACATGCCCTTCTCACTACCACAGAAGCTCCCCTTCCTGTACACATTCCAAAAGAGGTAGCTGATGTTTCCATCCAAACAGTTTCTGTTCAAGAAGATGATGTTATTTCTATCCAAGCAGACGCTGTTTAAGAAAATGCCCTTTATGAGGCTCAGCATCAGGTTGAGGAAGTTTCCACTCTCCTAGAAATCTCAAATGGACTGCCAGACAGCAAGGATTATGACAGTGCATTTGAATCTGACTGATTTGTAAATTATTGAGATATTGAACAATTCCAGTTGCAATGTGCATGGCAGTGTAAACACAGTGTTATGATTATTTCAAGTATTCACCATTGTTCCTGAACAGTTATATAATCATCGACAGTAATATCAATCAAATTAATACAAAAGACAGTGAAACCTTATTTTCGTTGCAAATCTCATAACAAAACTTGAATAATGTGTCAATACAGAGGCACCTTTAGTCATTTTATTGAAAATGATGGTAAATAAAGTGGGCAAATGAAGTACAATTTTGACCCGTCAGATCCCCCAAATTGCACCTTTGAGCATCCAAATTTCAAAAATTTTCTTGGGGGGATACTCCCAAACCCCCCTACAGGCTCACACCCTCCAAGTGCTCGGCAAGGTGCCTTCGGCACCCCGACCGCCTACATTTTCAGAATCACCTGCTCCTACAAATCTTTTTTTTTGTGTAGGCCTGTCAACCCCATTTTACACTGATTGTTATTACTAGACAGGCCCGTCCTCAGCAGTGATACATCACGTACACCGAGTTAATTACATTGAGCATTACACTGTACAATGCAGAAATATCAATTTTTGCTAACAAATACACGACATATGGCCCCCAAAACCGGGCAATCAAAGAGGAACAACACTACACTAATGCAGGAAACTCTCTCCTTGCAAAACTATCACAGTATCTGCTCAAAATTTTGCATTTTAGCCCACACAAGAAACACAACTCATGCTGGGCTCACAAGGATCTTCGATGTAAACACACAATTGGCCAAAACATAAAGAGCCAATAGAAACACAGGATTTTCAATCCTTCGAACGAGTATAAAATGGTCAAGAAACACTCTTTTGTGACTGATACCGAGAACACATCTCTATCAGTCTTTCTATTCATTTGGCAACTGACGAGATCCACAAGATTAGGATCGAAACCGCGGTCTTGCCTGACCATCCACAGAAAATGTCGGAAAACATTATAACGTCAGATGGGCTACTAAGTGCCCCTGGCACAAGCAATGCCTTTGAGAATGAGGATAAGATGGAAGTCTCATACTACATCGCTAATGAGGATGATCTGCTCGGCAAGTCCGATGACCATGAACAAATCCCTCTGTATCAAGTGCCTAGAAAACCTAAACAGTTTAAACAGCAACGCCAAAGTTACCAAGGCACCCTCAAAGGAGTACCAGCGAACCAAGGACAGAACAGTACCGAAAAGGTCGCCGCCACAGCCCATCCACAGAGAATCGTAAACGGAGCCATAGCCTATCCGCGGAGAACAAGATTAGCCAAGCCGAAGGTGCGATCAAAGCTTTAAAAAGGCACACAGACAGGGGAACTAGCCCAGAAACCCTACAATATAGGGCGAGGGCCAAAATAACAGCGGACGAGGACTTCAAGAGAGAGATAAAACAAATCCGTAAGAACGCGGAGCAAGAAACATTGAATGCGATTATACGATTCCATCAACGAGAAATCGGCCGTTTTGAGGCCGAATCCAAGAAAGGAAAGCGAGCCGCACTGGCTATAGCGCTGAACACTAAGAACTGTAGTAGATCGAACCAGCGCGTGCAGCGCAAGCTGATAACAATGTATCGATCAAAACAGTAAAACACATTGCTGTTAACCTCCAGGCACAAATCACCCAGTTCGGCAATATGATGGAAAAACTAGGAGCAATTGAAAATAAAGAAGTTCAAAAGTACACTTTTGTATTCTCTGACTCCCACCACAAACATGGGCCAAAAAACAAATTTTAAAAGCCAAACGGCTGGCAACTTATAAGCGCAAAGAGCGCAGAAAGGTCAGACGCCAGAAACGTTCAACTATCACAATAGAGGCCAACAAAAAACACATAAAAAACCTCTCAAACAAAGAACTTACAAGTGACCAGATTAATTTACTGGCAAAAGGGCTTAAATTCATTCCAACACCCATTACAAAACAAACACAAATCAGGCAACAACTCTTACGTGACTTTGATCAGTTTGCAAGAAGAATGCGTCTAATGTACATATTTTAAGGGGAAAACGACAAACCCCATCCTTACTGTGTCAAATCTGCATGGGAACCACCAATACAACGATCAGTAGCCCTTGAAAGTTATCTAGAAGAGGTTAAGAGCGACCTTGCAGAAACAGAAATAACAAAGCCAAAAAATAATCTGCCTCCGGCCGAACGTGAGGCTCTCAGAGCCCTAAAACATGACACTGAAATAAACCTTAAAAAGGCCGATAAAGGAACAACAACCGTAGTCATGAACGCACAAGACAAAATTAAAGAAGGCCAAACTCTACTAGACAACAAAGACAACTACAGGCCTCTTGCATCACCCATGGTCACTGAGACAAACCATAAAGTTAAACAACTTATGACAGACCTCCACAACGGGGATCACATAGACGACATGACTAAAAAATGGCTTTGTCAAACACCAAATCCGCCTCAAATTCCAGAATTCTACACCCTAAGATACACAAGCCGTCCCCAGTCAGCAGACCGATAGTATCAGGGTGTGATTGCCCAACAGAGAAATTATCATCATTTGTCGACAAACTCCTTCAGCCGATAGCACAACAACAAAAGTCGTATCTTAAAGATACTACCGACTTTGTCAATTTCATAGAAAATACGAAAGTCCCAGCGGACATCATACTTGTTTCAATGGACGTTACAAGCTTGTATACAAATATACCGCAAGAGGAGGGAATAGACACGGTATGCAGAGCATACGAAATATTCTATAGAAACGAACCTCCTATCCCTACACAACTACTAAAGCGAGCGCTCAGACTAATTCTCCAAGAAAATTCTTTCCAGTTTAATGGAAAAAACTACCTTCAAACACATGGTACGGTCATGGGCATGAAAATGGCAGTCGCCTTTTCTAATATATTCATGAACAAGGTAGAGACGGAAATCCTTAGCCAAAGCCTTTTTAAACCGCTCGTTTGGAAACGTTACATAGACGACATCTTCTCGCTCTGGACAACAAACAGAGACAGAAGAGAACATTTCATTGAACAAGCAAACAATCATCACCCTACAATCAAATTTACGGCTGAAATTTCCGATAAGGAAACAACATTCCTGGACACCTACATCTACAAAGGGGAAAGATTCAAAAGAGACGCAATCCTTGATGTGTGTACTCATTTCAAACCAACTGAGACATGTCAGTATACCCATTTTGCTTCCTGTCACCCGCAAGGAGTTAAAAAAGGCTTCATTAAAGGGAAGCCCTCCGACTCCTCAGAACAAACTCTTCCAAGCTAATATTTGAAGAGAAAATTACAAATTTCAAAGCGCATCTGCTACAGAGGGGTTACCCGAAGGATCTTATTAACACAACCCTCTCGGAGGTGAACTTCAAAGACAGGAAACTAGCCCTTCAACAGAAACCAAAGACAAACCAACGAATTTTGCCTTTTGTCACACAATACCAACCATCAGTGCTAAACCTAAAGCAAATTCTCATGAAAAACTGGCATTTAATAGAACAACAACAATTACTGAGCGAAATCTACAAAAAACCACCCCTCATATATTATAAAAAAGGGCGGTCACTCAAAGACATACTCGTGAGAGCCAAACTATAAAAAGGCTATTTTAAACACGTGCTAGGGAGTCGTGTAGGCCCGTCAACCCCATTTTACGACACTTGATATTAAATTTGATTGTTAGATAACAAAAAGGCAATGACAGAGGGAGAAACAAGACATCCTTCAACATGCTCTAGAGGTTCACAGAAGTAACTGTTACTCAATTTCTATGCCAATATAAAATGCCTTGTAGGTCATCACACCCACCGGTCTATTGCTTAACATTTTTATCTATTAATGGTTGTGATGCCAACATCTTCCGAAAAGAGCAAATTGCATGTACAATTCCTGTTCCTCAGCTGCCATCGCGGGCTGAAGCAGTGAAACTAGTGAGGAGCAGTTTACTGCAAATTACCATGGGAACAGACTCTCTGACTTGGCACTGAGTATTCACTATAGATAACCCGTTGTTTATGATGCTGTAGCTCTAGATTACGAATGTTACTTGTTGATCCAATTTTTGAGGAAAATTACTGCACATAACCAATTCAAATTTATAACCATTATTTTAAGATTGTTCTTGACTATTTCAAGTATTTACCTGATGCCCAACAAATTTTGTCGTTATTTCTCGGTAGTAAAGAAAGTTTCCGATCTTTGTAGCTAGAATAAATTTATCCTTCAATATACAGGAAAATACCTTGCCAAAGATTATTTCCCCCCAGACCACCCTGGGATAGTCTATCAAAGGCTAAATCCTGGATCCACTCCAGCTGAAGTAGAATTAATTACAATATATTGCAGTAAATAACCTTCATTCAAGATCACACAACCTTTTTAAGTATCTTCACTTGCTTCATTTTGTTTCCTGTATTATTTCATCATTTCAAAGCTGTCATTAGTATTTCTTAGTAACTTGCAATTTTGTGTTCATTGTAGCAGCTACTATCGTAATTGATCTGACCAGAATAAAAGGGGCCTTGGAACTGTGAGTCTATTAGTGTTTGCCAATAACCAGCTCATAACAACTTCTAAATGTCATTAGCATTTGAGATTTTGTTTAGTCATAATGACCTTTTTGTGTTATCAAAAATATACCATATTCTTTAAGTGTTTTAAGGAAAGTGGACCATGTTATATAGGTAAATGTATTTAAACACTGTCTCACAAAAATGTTATCAAAAATATACCATATTCTTTAAGTGTTTTAAGGAAAGTGGACCATGTTATATAGGTAAATGTATTTAAACACTGTCTCACACTTAACAATACAAGTGGGCTGAATGTAAAACAAAAGCCCTTACAATAGCAAGTGCTTTCATGGTTCATTTACACATCTATTATCTCTCGTACCTGAACAAAATCAAGTCATTTGAGCCAAGTATCTATGCTTCCAGTTCTGTCCAAAGTAATAAATTGAAAACAGGGTGCTTGTGAAAACGATGATTACAAAAATTTAATAAGTCTAGTGAGGTCAATACGATCAAATTCCTTTGTGAAAACCTCCATAAACCTTCGCCACTGAACACATAATAGAAATCAGCCTAAAATTAATTTTAATGGGCCTACAGGGGTCACCTTAGGGAGAGAACTAACAGTTAATGACTTGACGAGGGATGGAATATATGATTACCCCTCCCTTAACTGATTATAAATATACCGGATTATAAGAACCAACTCTGGGGCAAAGTCTTTTAAGAGCCTGTTGGGTATGCTTTCAGGTCCTGCCACCGATGACACTTGGAGCTAAGAGGTAGATCTGTAGGCCCCACTTACAGAAACAACAAATTCACATGCTACAGACAACAGCAGGGGTGGAAAATGTACAGCAATGAGTTTTGCCTCCTTCAAAGACCTTCATGAGTTTATCTTACTATTTGCAAGAGCAACTGTAGACGAGATCCCATTTCTAAACAATTTTTGGAAGTTAGGGCTAGTGTTTGTCTCACAGCTCGCCCTAGTCCCCTTGTACAAAATGATCATTTGATGCTGAAATTGTCCCTGAGTTGTTGTTTTGTGATGAAGCAAGAATGGTGACCCCCTTTTTTATTTCTGCTTTTACTTGCTATGGCTTCACGAAAAATATATATTAAGAAGATTGATAGATTGTTTCACTTTGCTGCCTATGGCAACCATTTTGGACCTCTGATTGAAAGTGGAGGCCTGGATAGGGAAAGCTTGGATGGACATGTAGCTCATCTGCCATTTTGAATTTTGAATTTGTGATTTGGTTGGACAGCTTCACAAATTAATTAGAGTCCTTTGAGATTGGGATTTAGACGTCTAGCAAAGGATGAGGATGAAAGTAAGGATGTTGAGGCAAGGACTCTTTGAGAGTCAGGAGGTCATAGAGAAACATTAAACCACAAAAGACACCACCAAAAAGAAATACAAAGCAAACTGAAAGATGCTTGGCCCTGGATATAGAAAAGAATGGCTAAGCTAGTTAAGTTGGCTGGAATACAGTTAAGACGAGGGGCAGATGAGCTGTGCATTTTGTAAACAGTTTCCATGGCTTTACTGCATCCATTGTATAGCTTAAAATTTAAAGCTGGCTGTCCTTGATGGTATCCAAGAGCAGAATAAACTTTCTTCCATCAAGGAAATGCTTCATTCTATTAACAAACATTACCACTATTCTCCTACAGCTCTAAGGGTGCTCAAAGAGCTTGCAGAATTTTTGGAAAGAAAAGAAAAGATTCAAAGCCTATCAACTTGAAAGGAACTAGATAGGTGCCACATTTTACCGAGCTCTTCAGGTCTTCATTAAGGCTTCAGAACCATCCACTCCCACTTTGGCAACACTGTTGCAACTGGAACTAGTGGCATTGAAATGCAGGGAAGGGCGAAAAATATTCTGAAAATACAAGAGAAATATGCAACAGTTGTGTTTGTATATTTCATGGTCGAGGTCTTAGAATGCATGTCAAAGTTCAGTTGCCTCTTCCAGACATCCAGAGGAATGATATCACCCTAACCTCTGCTAGAGATGGGCTGCAGCAGACTGTACTGGAGCTGTGTCAAGATAGCCTTAAAAACATTGGAAATGGGAATGACTATAATGGAGTT